CTTTTAAATCATTCCAAAAAAATGAATTAGTTTGTTTTCAAATTTACGATTTATTACGTTAGTTTTTAAACTGAACGTCGCGCATTTAACAAAATCGTTTGTTAAGTAAAATACTTTGTTCAATACAATGTTTCGTTATTTAATAAAACTATTTTTTCAAAAAATTTTCGAAAAAGTTTTTGTTCATTTCTTCTTACCTCTTCTAAATACTTTTCTTTCTTTTCTTTCATCCATTCATGCTTTCCTTCTCTTTTCTTTTCTATTTTTTCTTCGATTTTTTATTTCAGATAGAACTGAGAAATCTGGAATCATAATACAGAATGAAGTTCAGATAATATGGCCGTCTATGAAATACTGCTGTTCAGTGTTCACACTGTGATTTAGAAGTGGAATTATAAGAATATCTGAATCCCTCCAGTGTATTTATAAAACCCCTAGATAGATATCTGAATCCCTCCAGTGCAGGGGTCCATATAATTCCCAAAATAGTTGATTTTCTCGATCCCAAAATCATTTTTTGCCCCCAACTTAAAACAAATGCCCCCAATTTAAAAGTTGATTATTTTCTATTGTTGTTTCTCTCTTTAAGTGACTTGCGGATTTCTTGGTACAGAAACAATACTGGGAATTTGTGTAAATTTTAACAGTCGTTGATTGGTTTCCTTAAATTTTAGGACCGTTTCCTCATATTTTTTATCTGTTTCCGCTTTTTTCAAAAACTTTAAAAATCACATTTGTTGATCGGTTTTAGGTCCGTTTCCTCAAATTTTTGATCCGTTTCCGAATTTTTCAAAAACTTAAAAGATCTAATTTTGCTGATCGGTTTCCTCAAATTTTAGATCCGTTTCCTCATATTTTTAATCCGTTTCCGCTAGTTTTTCAAAAACTCTAAAAATCTCAACTTATTGAAACGCAGCAAATAGGTTAATTATTTTTGAGGGAACCCATGGGTATCCCGGGAGGAACAATAAAAAAATAGATTTTTTTATTCGAAATTTAAGTTTTTCTTTAAATTTCGTTTTTTTATTTGCACGCGCAACGCCTGGCACTTCAGCTAGAATTAAAATCTGGCAAAGAAAGAAACACACAATTTTACAGCTACAAGGAACCCTGAATGTATATCTTATGCTGAATGTCATACAATCTTCAGTTTTTTTCAAATCTTTATCCTATGTGTTTTTAAAATCTTTTACAGAATACACAAATAAGACAATAAAGTATTCTTTTCTATGAAGTCATGAACTTTTGTAAATGCTTTTTGATTAAAAACTTAAGTGTATTTGTATTATGGTTCGATATATACATACATGTGTCCCTGCATTTTTACAGTGAGACCCAGAAAACTGTGAAATTATAGGAAGACGACTTTTGAACTCAAGTTTTGACTTTAGTTCGATGAACATAAAACACAACAATGGTACAGTGTGCACTGATCATTTCACTTTTTTTTATTTTAGGCTACTGAAAGTAAGACCATTTGTGATATTATAACATCAAATACACTTCATACAATATTGCTTTAATGTCGTCTTTCTGGTTTTCCCTGTAGAGAATTGTATTTTTAATCCTTAAAAAACATAAGTTCTAAAAAGTTATTTAAAGATTCATAGAATGTATATCGTTTAATGAACGTGTAAAGAGTGTCCCAATAAACATGGGAATTCAGTGACGAATTCGATATCCTCTTTTTTTATGAATTAGTACTGTAATTCCTAATTTCTTTTCTTGTTTTACTAAGTACAACCGTATGCATGGTCAAAACATATACAAACAAATTGTAAACATAGCAGAATTCGTTACTGAATTCCCATGTTTATTGGGACATCCTGTATGAAATCAGTATTTTTTTATTTTTATCAAATATTTTTTTTATTAGCTGTAGAAATTACACAGATAATTTACTCAAAGGCCATACACTTTTGTATATGTTTTTTTGATCTTGATACATGCTCATTTAAACTCTTTTTCGTGTATCAAGCAATATATTGTACGTACCCTGAAAGGTCTAAACAAATTAGAACACATATCTAGTCCTTTCTGTGGAATCAGTGATACATTATTTCATCAATATTTTATAGAAATGTTACAGTGAGAACCACAAAACTGTGGAACAGGAAGACAACTTTTAGACTAATTATGCAGCGTGCACAGACCCCTTTCACATAACAACTGATTTTTAAGGTTTTTGTAAAACTATTTGCTTTATAGCAGTTCATTTACATATGCAGATAATTGATAGTTTTTTGAACTGGAGGATTTAAATAAATTCTCATTAAGAAAAAGATCATAACTGAAAATTACGAATTTTTTTATTACAATTTTGCAAATTCAATCTTAATACAATTCTAGAATTTGATAGAAATAATATATAACATTTTTGCTTTTCTGAACCTTTGATTTTGCGAGAAAAAAGGTTCACTGAATTTTTTTGACCATTCGATTACAAAAAAAAATATAAAATTTCAAAAATTTTATTCCCTGATCCGAGCAGGGGCAAATCTTTAAACTTAGCATTAAGATAGTGGAATCTAGCTTCTATGTTTATAGTTTTTTCTTGTATTTCAAGATGAAAGTTGACTTTTAATAATCGTCTGCAATCAACAATATGTTTTAGGGAGCGTGCACACTATATTTCAAAATAGATTAAATAGTATAGATGGGGGGGGGGGAGGGGGGGGACAAAACAGCTCCATTGAAATAATTTAATTTAATTAAGAGTTCTCTTTTTTATTATAAGAATTTGGTATATTATCGAGCGCAGAGCAAACTCCTCAACGGACCTAAAATTTGAGGAAACTGATCAACAAAATGGATTTTTTAAGTTTTTGAAAAAAGCGGAAAAGGATCAGAAATATGAGGAAACGGACCTAAAATTTGAGGAAACCGATCAACAAAACGAGATTTTTAAACTTTTTGAAAAAAGCGGAAACGGATCAAAAATATGAGGAAACGGACCTAAAATTTAAGGAAACCGATCAACAAATTGAGATTTTTTAAGTTTTTGAAAAAAGCCGAAACAGATCAAAAATATGAGGAAACGGACCTAAAATTTGAGGAAACCGATCAACAAATTGAGATTTTTTAAGTTTTTGAAAAAAGCCGAAACGGATCAAAAATATGAGGAAACAGATCTAAAATTTGAGGAAACCGATCAACAAAATGAGATTTTAAAGTTTTTGAAAAAAGCGGAAACGGATCAAAAATATGAGGAAACGGACCTAAAATTTAAGGAAACCGATTAACAAATTGAGATTTTAAAAGTGTTGGAATAAAGGGGAAACGGATCAAAAATATGAGGAAACGGACCTACAAATATGAGAAAATTGATCAAAAAAAAAGAGGACAACTGTAAATATTGGGAAACGGATACGAATTATTCGGAAATCCCTCAAAAATTCTGAACTTTTGAGGGATTTACTCGAATTTCTAAAAAAAAACGGAAATTCCTCAAAAATAATTTTTGCTTTAATATGTGTCTAATGGAGTGGGTGCAAATACGTCATTGCACCCCCTTTCAGATGAAAGGGGGTGCTGCACTTGTCCCCCTGCACCCCCCCTGGCTACGGGCCTGATCAAAGGTACAGGAAATAATATGGACAACAACCATTTTTTCAACTTAAGATTAATATTTTGTGTGTTGAATTCTTAAACTGTTTTACATTAAAATGTTTTTATGTGGCACGGAAGGGGAAATAGTGGTGGCTCATGGCCGCCTGCCTTCCACCGCTCGCATGCTATAGCTTGTTGAGTTAAGAGGTCACAGAGTTCACAGAATACATATAGTATACGTGTACAGTGTAAACTTGATTTAGTGACGGTCGATGGATTAACGTACTTTGGCAACGGTTAGAGTTTATACATCCTATCCTACAGACAAAATGTACGGATGAAGTCATTATTTAGTCAAGTTATGATTAAATATGTAAGATTGGTCTCTTTCTGTAAATATAGCCGTCCATATTCATCCATAACAGGTACTGGTAGAAATAAATGGTTTTAATTTAGATATATATCTCGATACAGAATTTAGATTGAATGATTTAATCATATATTTAATACGTATGTTATCAATTTCAGGAAAAGATTGGGGTGACCCTTCTAGCGAGCCTTGGCTGGCCATTCACGGCTGGTTAGACAATGCAGGGAAATCATACATAAATAGATAGTTTAGATAAATGAATCAATAGTTGAATTAACTATAAAATGGCTAGTATTAGTTTTCTAATTGTAATTTATCAAATACAAATTTAAAAGGTTGTATTCAAGTTCTAGGCTCGCGTCGATGAATTTTTGTAAAAAAGATGGGTTCTACTTATGGCATAATTGTTAATTGTGTGATTCACGAACTAGGTAGCTTTGACTTGCTCGCGAAGGACTGGCCTGCCGGTCACAGGATAGTTTCTATAGATTTTCCAGGTAAACAAGTTACAACTGATGTATTCAAAAGTTTATTACTGTTAAAAGAATTGAGTCTTTGCTACATGCTTTGATTTTCCACACAATGTAGATATTTTAAACTCTGAATGTTTAAGATCTAATAATATGAGTTTGTAATATTTAAGGTTTAGATCATCAGGTTGCAAATATATAGGGGTTAGAAAAATCGAGTTTGTCTCAAAAACTCAATTGCATTCACTGAAAACTCAATTGCATTGACTGAAAACTGCCTGCTTTTATGTACATTACAAATGTTGTTTTGTAGAATTTAGTCAAAAAACAAATATATCTTTTATCAATTCTCATCGAACCCCTGTTTGTCAAATATAATTGTCTATATATTATCTAGGACATGGGCTAAGCTGCCATCATCAGCAGGTTGCTCCTACCATTATCTAGATATTATCTATTATCTAGGACNACAGTACAGGGGGGGGGGGGCATGGAAAATTCTCAGATTAATTCCTCCTGCAATTTATAAAATCTTTATTTTGGAATGTCAATCCTCTTTTGTTGTTATTGATTATGATTGATTTTGTTTTTATTTGACTTTGTTTAGGTTAAGTCATTGATCATGATTGATCTTGTCCGGCCTGTTGCCCGATCCACCGAATCCTTCCTTCCTAAGACGAGATCAGCCATAGATGATCTTCTGAGGTAATTTATAACTATGAGTAGTGATGTCCAATAAGTTGGCTCGTTTTTTAGTGGGTTTGGAGTTTGAACTTTTAGAAGGTTCCACAAAACGTTGTTTTATCAGTTTTTCCTTTTTCTCTTAGGCCGAAAATAGTGCAAAGTTTAATTAAAGCAACTTTCGAATTCAGTATTATTAAAAGTTTTTGTTAGATGAAAATATTTTCAATAGTCAAAAAATCGAGTGTATATCCAGCTTTTTAAGGAATAAAATGAAAACCAAAACAAAAAACTATTTTTTCGAAAACCGTTTAAAAAAAAAATTGAAGGATATTTTTTTACAGGTTGGAGGCGAAATTTCCTAACTTTCACGGAAAGGTGAAAACAATTAAAAAAATTTTAATTATTGTACTTAACTACGATGTATCTGCAAATGATTCTTTGTAAAATAAATAAAAACTACTGTTGATGAAACATTCTAAATGAAGTGAACAATTTATACTTCACGATTGAAGTGTCAATCATATTGAAAAGGTCCAGGCTGGAAAACCAATGTTCATTAAAGACTTAGACTTTATTCTTTAATTTGAAAGCAGTTGGCAAATCACCATATTTTTATTTGATTTGATTGTAAAAGTAATTAGTGGCGTACGAGGGAAGCGAGCCCTCCGCCCCCCCCCCTGCGCTTGCCCCCCTGAGAGGCTGAGGGGGCACCCATGGGGAAAGGCTCTTATAATGTTGCATCTGCGTGCATTTCCTATCCTTAGGCCAGGCACAGTGGCGTACCTGGGGGGCAGTAGTCCTCTTGCCGCCCTGGGAGTTCCAAGGGGGGGGAACCCAAATTTTTTTTTCCGCGCTTACGCTCGCAGATTGTGCCACCATAAACAAATGCCCTCGTACGCCCCTGAAATTAATGTAAATTGCTGTTGATAAAAAAATTTTAATTTAGCACACCATGAACTTCTTAAGGTTTACCCCACGCGTGAAGATGCTCATGAGCGCCTACTTGATGGGATTGCTGAGCTAGGGCGTGCAACTAACGGGGGTGAGGATTCTAACCATGGAATAACGGAGAAAGGAGTTCAAATCATTATGCAGAGAGGAATCCAAAAGTAGGTTTTTTTTAGAAATATAATTTTTGATTGTTTAAGTAATCATTCATTCACACATTTTAATCGTTGTTTTGTTGATATATGCAAATAAAAATGATATTGTTTTTTTTATTTTTTTTGTTGTGGTTTTTTCCCTTCCCTCTTTCTCCTTTTCCCTTCCCCTTCCCTCTTACCCTTTTTCCTTTCCCTCTTCCCCTTTTCCTCTTTTCACTTTTCCCTTCCTTCTTCCCATTTTCCCTTCCCTCTTCCCCTTTTCCCTTACCTCTTCCCCCTTTTCTCCTTCCCTTTTTCTTTTTCCCCATGATTGAAGATTAGACATAAATGATTAAATGTATAAAATGAAAAAAATATCGTGGGTGAATATCTTTATCTTTCTAAAATTAGACATAAAAAATTTGGATTCTTATTAAAAGTAAAAGAAGGAAATTGCCAAGAGTTCAACACTTGACAGAAAGAGTACCTTAGTTTCCCCTGTTACTCGGATAAAGGTTTAAATGGAGAGCTACTTGAAATTACGTATACAGTCCCAAATTTTGTTTAAATAAGATAAAAAATGTAAAATTTGAAATATTTAGGTCTGAGTGTGGTACAGGTTGGGTGTTCTCCCGTGATCTCCGGCATCGTGTTGGAAGCCTGTATGGTTTATACAACCATAACCTAGAGCAGGTTGCAACAAATATACATTGTAAACATCTACTTATAAAGGTAACATTATTATTATTATGTATTATTATTATTTTATAATAAGCAGCAACGCAGGGGTGTATATAATTCCAATTTTTATTCTTTCCCCCCATGCACCCTCTCTGAATTTTTTTGATTTCCTTCCCCAAATTCGATAACTAAAAAAAATTTTTTTTAAGATTTAAATAATAAACCCCATAGTCCTGTATTTTGCAAAAATGGCGCCACAGGCAAATTTTTTTTACTTTCTTGCTTTTTATATATTTTATACACCCCTGCAGCAATGTAATTGTCTCCTTAAGATATTTCATGTTAATTTAGAGCTCCAAACTTTTCTTCAGGATATCACTTAGCTTCAGCGTCTGAACTTGAAGCCCACTGTAGAACTTAAAAATTGGTTTAAATCATTAAGCTTGAAGGATAGGAGTCAACTTGTTTCTAATTTTACAGTAGAATGTTTCCGAATCAAGTTTGGTGTTACCTTACCAGCCAATGACATCCAAGCTTGTCACAGATTTAATAAATCTGTTCTGATCCGTGTCTGGAACCGTAAAGGAGGGGGACTTAGCACTTTGTATCCAATGTCAGACATGATAAAAACAACCAGATTACCAGAATCAGGATTTTTAAAATACTTCAAAACAGTTAGAAACATAAAATAGTTCTTCTGAAATATCATGTAAATATTACAAAGGGGGAGGGCCTTCTGACTTCGTTTTTAGAGATTTCTCTCTGATTTTTTGCATGCAGGCCTGAATTGTGATCTAGTTTTCGAATCAAACACCAAAGTGGAGAAAAATTAATTTTCCCACTCATTTTCCCCGCATTTTTTCAAAAACTTTGTGTTAGATCCATGTGGGGTGTCTAAAGTCATTAATATTAGATCGAGAAACCCAATTTCCGACTTTATAATGCATTTCCACCTCTCCTTATTCCATTTTCCCCTCTCCTTATACCATTATCCCCTCTCCTTATACCATTTTCCCCTCTCCTTATACCATTTTCCCCTCTCCTTACACCATTTTCCACCTCTCCTTATACCAATTTCCCCTCTCCTTATACCATTTTCCCCTCTCCATATACCATTTCCCCTCTCCTTATACCATTTCCCGTTTCCGCATTTTCCACCGCTAAAAGGCCACTGACTATTATTAGAGATTTCTCTCTGATTTTTTTTGCATGCAGGCCTGAATTGTGATCTAGTTTTTGAATCAAACACCAAAGTGGGCAAAAAAATCATTTTCCCCTATAATTTTTCCTGCATTTTTCGGGCATTTTTTCAAAAATTTTAGTTAGTTTAGATAGTTTATAAAAGTTTAATGAAATCTCAATTGGAATATGGTATTTTAGCATGGGGGTCATCAACAAACAATAAAATAGGAAAAATCATATAAACTTCAAAAGAAAGCAATACAGACGGTCAGATAAAGGATATTCACAGCATACAGATAATCCTTTGTTTTCTAAACTTGGAATGCTCAAATTATCTGATATACACAAACATAATGCTTTTACTTCTATGTATAAATACATAAAACCGAAACAACCAGAAATGGTTAGGATGTAGCCCTGGCGAATAATTGTTTAGTTATAAGTTTTATGTTAGCCGAAATATATTTCTATCTATCTATCTAAACTTAGTTCTCTCTCTCTTGAGTCTGTACAATATGATTATTGTTTCTGATGTTTCTAATCCTTCTATGCGTCCTTGAGTCCTAACTATGAAAAGGATGAGAATTATCTAGGAGATAATTATTTATAATGTTTCTAATCCTTCTATGCGTCCTTGAGTCCTAACTATGAAGAGGATAAGAGTATATCTAGGAGATAATTATTTATAATGTTTCTAATCCTTCTATGCGTCCTTGAGTCCTAACTATTTGGAGGATGAGAGTATATCTAGTAGATAATTATTTATAATGTTTCTAATCCTTCTAGGCGTCCTTGAGTCCTAACTATGAAGAGGATGAGAGTATATCTAGGACGATAGCTTGTTACAGCAAAAATCCACTATTTGTTAACAGGAAACAATTGAAATCACAACACAAAAAATAAAAAGTAAAATGATCTTAAAGTAACAATTTGCCTAGTACAAGTTCGACTAGTACACTTTCCGTAGTACACTTTTGCCTAGTACACTTGTGCCTAGTACACTTTTGCCTACTAACGTTTTGACCAGACACAGTTTGCCTAGATAACATTAGAAGATAATTTTCGCCTAGATAAATTCATTAATTTTTCTTTAGAAAATTTCTTAAGTTCTAAGGTGGCATCATATTTCATGTTTGAAAAGCGCCAATTATAAACTTTCTGACTACCAGGTCCATTGGAGACATATGAGAAATGTTGATTATCAATTATGGGTGGTCTGCCTCGTTTGGTTTTCCCTGCCTGAATTAAGGACGTAATGTCAAGATCAATGTCAGAAGCAAACTGCACTTTTAAAAAAATTGTGAAATTTTACGGTAAAAATTTTGTATTTTTTTTCTTCCAAAAACTGGTGAAATATAATTTCAAGAATTTTATTCTAGGGGAAAATTACTCTCTAATGTTATCTAGGCGAATTGTTGTCTAAGCAAACTGTGTTTAGGCAAAATGTTATCTAGGCAAAATGTTATCTAGGCAAAATGTTGTCTAGGCGAACTTGAACTAGGTGAACATGTACTAGGCAAAATGTTACTGAGCCGTTACTTATTCCAAGTGTCCCACCATTTATGGAGTAGCGTGTCTGATTCACAACATTACCCTGTTAACCTTTGTACAAGAAAATATTGATGGGCGGATTTTTGGTAATGTCAATTTGGTAATGACAATTTGGTAAGGTGAAAATTTGGTAAGGTGACAAAGGCCCCCTAGCCCATTCTAGCCGCAGCGCTCGGCCCAGAAATTGTCTTAACATAACTTAACCCTAAATAATGTGAGAAACAGCAAATAATTAAACATTAAATTGAATTAAATTTCACTTTTTTGTAGTTACCAAAATGTTATTACCAATTTGTCACTTTTTTGTAGTTCCCATATTGTCATTACCAAATTGTCACTTTTATGACGTTACCAATTTGTCATTACCAAATTGTCACTTTTGTGAGCTCACCAAATTGTCATTACCAAATTGTCGTTGCCAAACCAAATTGTCATTACCAAATTGTCATTACCAAACTGTCATTACCAAACTGTCATTACCAAATTGTCATTACCAAATTGACATTACCAAAAATCCGCCCGTCAAAATATTACGAGTTGCCCCTGTTTTTAAAATTGTGAAATTCAATATATGTATGTATATTCAGAACACTTTGAAGCAAAACTTGTTGGCTTTTTATTCTTAACGAAGTTTTAATCGATGATCATTGTTTCTATAGTTTGTGATTTGATGTTGTTTACTACAGGGTGGTTGAAGGAAACCATCATCTTCACCTCAACAATCCGGAAAATGTTCTCCCTGTAATCAAAGAATTTATCCTGTCCAATTCAAATCTGTAGTAAACGAACTGTCCCGACTTGATTAACCTTCAGAAATTTGTTAAAAATAAATTGTTATGTAATCAAAACAGATACATTTGTGCATTGTGACTTTGCATATTATTTTGCAGTCTCTAACTAGAGTCAATGTAGAATTAACAAAATCATACGTCCACTCAAAGTTCCAATCACGAAGTGTTCTAATTAATAGGCTATTTTTTTCTTAAATTACAAATATAAGTGAACGGTCTCCTTGAACTATCATCAAGTTTAGAAATTTGTTGACTATTATATTGTTATGTAATGAATACATGTAGCTGAACCACTGATTCTCGTGTGCTTGATGTTATTTGAGGACTTTATAGTGCTTAACTTTACTAAAATTAGTCGGATTCTGCTTTTCAGTCCTGACTTCAGTTGATTTATTGTTAAGTCAGAAAATTGTTGATGTAAATAAAATCTTAGCTTTAAGGACGTATTACTTCCACACTCCAATTCCATGTAGCTTGTTTCATCAGTTGCAGCCAAATGTTAGATTCTGTTTTTCAGGCCTCAAATAAAAGCAAGGCAAAAAAGATTTGAAAGATAAGAACAATATGCAAACCATTATTAGAGAACAGATAACGTTGTTTGAAGACTTTAATTTTATGAAATGTAAATCACCCTCGGACTTGGCGGACTTGCGTCCTGACTTAGAGATGGTAAAGAAAATTGATGTCAAAAATAAGTTTTTAAAAAATTGATCAGCAAAATAAAAATAAAATCCGAGTTTAAGACACTCAGAACTTGAATAAATAGTATGAAAAACATCTGTGTTCCCTGTTTCAAGATCAGCAAAACAGACCTGACTTGAGTTGTTAATTTATTGGCAAGTAGTGATCGGAATATTTTTTTAAGTTGTTATTCAAACCACTTATCAACATAATTAGTCATGGTACTGGGTTACCCACAAAGGATGAGACTTAAATGACTGTACGGAATCTATAACAAACAACTTGAAAATTGTTTCTATCCATGCCAAATAATAAAGAAAATCAATGCAAGACTGGATTAAACTTAACGATAACATGAATTTATATAAAATCTAAGATCTTGGGAATGTTGTAGCAAGGATGGACTTTTCTCGTTCTGATGATTTGCAAAGAATCTTTTTCAAACTTATCACTCTCCCACTTCCAACTCAGTTTTTAGCCTCATTAAGTTTATTTTTCTTAACTCGGCTCTTGATTTTTTCAACAAAACTACACTCGGTCATAGCTTTCTCCTCCCATTTAAGTAATTTTCGCCGCTTGGATAGATTTTTTCCCACTCTTTAATGATTCTCTCTATTTCAGAATTCTCCACTTTGTTCTCACTATCCCAATTGTGTTCTGATATTTCCCCTACTTTATCTTTTTATCCCTCCCCCCCTTCTTTGTCTGATAATACCGAAGAATGTGTAAACACCGGGAAAATGTAAACAGAGAACAGTTTCTATCACAAGGTTTTCATTCAAGCAGGGAGTACTGGGACTCCTAATAAAAGATAATCACGAAGGAGTACAGGGACTCCTAATAAACCTAGATTAGTATGAAGGAAGTACAGGGTCTCCTTATAAACCTAGATTAGTATGAAGGGAGTTCAGGGACTCAGTCCTCATTTTTAATTGTCAGCAAATCACCAAGATTAACCAAAAAAAGGAGACGAAGCTTCTTAGCTTTCTGATATTTTTTTTACCATAACATATAAAGGGACTGTTGTCGTTTTTTAAGTGACTCTCCATTTTGTGAGTGACATGCCTTATCTAAAAGATAGCCTCTAAACTTTTGTCAGAGTAAGGATAACGTCTACATACAGTCCCTTTAAAGAACTGCCGAAATTCCCCTTTGATTAAACAAATAGACTGTTCTAAACAGTTCTTCCTTATCAATCATACAAGCAGTATCGAACGCACCAATATTAAAAGAAGGAAGGTGTTGGGGGCAGTACCACTCCCACCCCCCCGCCCCATAGTGAATGACTAATTGGCAGAGCCTTTATGACCTTTTTTTCTTGCCCTAATGGTTTCCCAAAATATTTTCTTTTTTTATCTCCTCAGATTTTTAAGTTATACGATTAAAGACATAAACCACATTTTGTTTAAGCCAAGAAGTGTTCAACGTTACTATTACAAATATTGGTGTATATTGTGTTCACAAAAATTTTTCTGATTGAAATAAAAGTCTGAACATAATTTTTTGTGTTATATCTTGTAAAATAAATCAACTAATCTTCAAATAAGTATTTGTAATAACCACACATTTTATACAGATATGTAATATTTAGTTAAATTTACACTTCTTAATGAAGTTTCGGTCTGTCCCTCCCCTCTCTATCTACTTTCTATTAAAGATTTCGAGGTCCGAGAAAAATTTGAATTTTTTTTTTAGAAAATGTAAATGCGTCCAAAATTACCTAGTTTATTGATGAACATGGAGAACTATAATCAAACTGTCCACCAGGTTGTTAATTATTCCCTATAAACTATTTTCGAAAATGACGCGGAACTGAAAAATGTAAAAATCTGGATTTTCCTTAAAGGTCAAAGATAGGATAGTGGAAAGATAGGATAGTGGAAAGATAGGATAGAGGAAAGATATATAGGATAGAGGAAAGATAGGATAGAGGAAAGATAGGATAGTGGAAAGATAGGATAGAGGAAAGATAGGATAGAGGAAAGATAGGATAGAGGAAAGATATGATAGTGGAAAGATCGCAATAAACATTTTTGGGTAAAGCTATTAATTCAAAGAATGCCTAGACTGTATTTCTAGGGGACCTTCCGATTCACAATGGTACACTTCACCCCGGACTAACCAGAAAGAGAAGCATTCGGTTTCTTCTATTTGAAATTAAACGTGTTTGGTCTATAAAGCAAAAATCTTTTAATATATGGACTTGTTTGTACTTGACTATTTCAATCAAAAGGCATGCCGATAAAAAAGTATTTGAGAAAATACTGACAAATTATGTTTAATGGGTAAAATTGTTATCGAAAGTTACAGCTTTCTGATTTTATCTTTTTGAGGTATTTGAAAACCATTTTGCATTGTTATTACACTTTTTTTACACATTACAAAATATTTTATTCTCATATTATATTATACAATTTTGGAAAACATCTAACCTGGCTTTCCTTTAAATGATGAAATATTTGAATATTGACTGAACCTTTAAATCCACGTGGCTTAAACCTGTATCTAAGTAACGATGAGGATGATATTGCCATTTTTTTGTCAAAGAGGTGAATTCTTACAATTTCCTTCCATTGAATCAACTGATTCAAATTAAAAAGTCACTTGTATAGAAAAACATAACAGAAAACAATCCAGTTTTTTAAAAACTAGATATCTCCTTCATTCTTGTTAATACAAAGGTATAATATTTACTGTTGTAGTTTTTATGGATCTAGTATTTGGGACTTGAGTTCCAATGTGTTTCAAAATTGTATACAGCATGGAATACTGATGCTGTTAGAATTCTTTTTAATGTACCTAGAGATACGCATAGGTACTTGATTGAAAGTATTTCACAATGTTTACATGTAAAAACTATGTTAGCTAGCAGATGTGTGTCTTTCTATGAGACTATTGAAGCAAGTTCTAAGCTTTGCATTAGATTTCTTTCTAATTTATGTAAAAATGACCTTAACACAGTTCTTGGCAGAAATTTATTTTCTATTGCAAATGATTATTCTTTAAATAATTCGGATTTACAGAATGTTAGTTAAGAAACAAATGAAATATTTTGATGTCCCATTGGAACATGCATGGAAAGTTCATGTTTTACAAGAACTTTTAAATACAAGAACGAATAATTTATATGTTGAAGGATTCGATGATTACGTAATAACAGAAATGATAAATATGTTATGTAATGAGTAAAAATCAATGTTGTATATTTGTGCATAATTTTGCATATTTTTCTCTTTTCTTTTGGAAACCTGTATTTGCAAAAGTTTACTTAAACAAATTTAAACTACACTATTCATATATATTTATATCTTTGTGTATGAATAAATCTTTATGATATATGTTATACCGTTGTTAAAGGACATTAAATGTTTCAGATTGGAGGGTCATTTGAAATTGTGTCTTCAATCCCTTTTATATTAACCAAACTCTGTTATTAGGAGAACCATCTGGCAGGAATGAATATGTCTAATGTTCTTTACGGAGAAATGAATAAACAATCAAATATGGTAAATTATTTAATATTAACGTATGCAAACCGGTCCGTAAACTTTTCCATAATAAACCCATTCTTTCGTCCCACAGAGAACTAAATTTAAATCCTTAGAAAATCCCATGTCTATAAATTGAAAACATTTAATTCAGTAATTGAAATTATAATCTGGAATAAACTAAAACAACCAAAATTATAAAAACGTTTTAGTTTTAATAAGTATCGTGAGACCTAATTGAACTTATAGATACTGGTAGATAAACTACTTTTTTAGTGTGGCTGAGATTTTGCACTAAATACGTAATCAAGTTCGCCATGCCTAGTTAAACTACTTCTTTCTATTTATGAAATCATATCCCTGATATTTTAGATGTACTACATCGTCTTCATATTTGCAGCTTATATTTTCCTCATGCTTCTCATTGTTATCAATTATGTCAGGTAACTGCGGGATGTTATCTTACTCTACCGTCCATTGAGATAGTTATTTTTGTGTGTTATTCTTGTTATTTTGGTGTTACTATTGTTACCTCGAGTACACACAAGTGTTATTCTTGTAATCTCAAGTACATTTAGTGTTATTCTTGTTATCTTGAGTAGACTTTGGTGTTATTCTTATCTCGAGCACACATTGGTGTGATTTTTTTTATCTTAAGTACATTTTGATTTTTTGTTTTGTTATCTTGAGTAAGCTTTGGTGTTATTCTTGTTATCTAGAGTCTATTTAGGTGCTATTTTTAATTATTATTTTGGGTACATTTAGGTGCTATTTTATGGCGTCAAACATTATAGAAATCCAACATATAAAAATCGCTAGGTATAGCAACAATTGGCGTATTTTCCGGGAGAACATTTTTATATTTTAGAGAAATTAAATAATCAGTATTACATATAGTTATATAAGTAGATATAATAACATAAGTAGATATAATTTTCATAGAATCCTTTTATTTAAATGGTAACACGGAATTTTATGAAATCATATTAGCATTACTGGAGAACGTTTTTTTTTTAATATTTTTTTGATTTTTTTTATAAAATAAAAATGTACATATCGTTTTTATAAAATTTTTTTTTTTAATAGTAACACGCAGTTTTATGTAACCATATAATCATTCATTTATGTTGTCAGTACATAATAAAATCCGGGTGCAGACCTTTTAAACACAATCGAGAGAAATACAAATGTACATATTAATCTAGTTAGTTGTATAGTTGTTGTGTCCTGGCCTTGGGAGCAAGGTCTTCAGCAACCTCTTGGACAGATTCAT